TTAAATAAAATATTAATTGACCGTTTATTGTTAATGCAAAAAAATTATAAGTTTTATATTGAGTGAAAAAGTGTGCGAATACTTTTGTCCACCCTCTGTATTAATAAATTCGTTAAGATTTTCTTTCCATTAGGAATTTTAAAAAGTATAATTCGCCTAAAAATGAAAATTGTTAAATTATATTATTAAACTTATCACAAAAAAAAATAACAAATTTACCTTTTTTCGTGGTTAGTAGTTCTTCCATTTTTTTTTTTAAGAATTTAATATAAATGACGAGAAAGAGAAGATAATGAAATTTTCATAAAATAAAATGATAATATCGTTATTGTGCTTGCGTTGATAAATAATTGCACAATAACTTATAATTGTTGAATTCTTAGCCTTTATTGCTCGAATATGTGCTAACTCCATATTTTCATAATTTGTACAACAATCATTTTTTGTTTATATTAAGTCTACATCGGTTATCCCTCCCAAAATATGGCAGTGTGTGTAAATTTTATTAAAAGTTACTTCTATAGGCTTAATGAGCATCATCTAACATTATTAAATACGTAAAGATCCCTCGCCAGAAATACACAATAAAATTTAATATACAACATCGCGACACCATCCGACAAGAACTTCCGAGTTTAACATGATCCTTACTGTCAAGGAAAAAATTTCGACAAATGGAAGTCAAAGCTCTGCAAATCTCGGGCGGAAATAACGATTTTTAGTTTTTGTTTTTTCGTTTTTTCATCGATTATAATAGATTATAATTTTCTAATGAAAAAACTGTGACAACAAGACGTTTTTCTTATAATCACTGCACTAACCAAATGTTGTAATGTAAATATAAATTTTTTTTTTTTACATATCTTATCGGTGAGCTTCGGCATAATTTTACGAATAAACTCATATACTGTCATATTCTAATATTATAGAGTTTATTTTTCAAAGTCTAAACTTTTGCCATTATTTTATTAACTGATTTTGATAAATCCAATCTTTATCGTTTCGATATTCACTCATTTGACCTAAAATGCAAAGCAGCTTGCAGCCCGCTGTTCTTTTTAATAAAAATCTAACAGACGACTGGCAAAAAGTCTCTGATGAAATAAATTAACATTTTTTATAAATTTCGTCTATTTTTAGAAAGTTAAATATTTAAATTTAATATATTTCATTTTCAGTAATATTTAAAGTTTCTAAGATAAATAAATAATTAATTTAGTAAATCTTAAAATATTTTATGAATTATTATAATTACCAATATGTTGACTAATTTTCGTTTCTATTTCTACAATATCTTGATCTAAAATCTCATTTAATTTATCAGTAAAATTAAGTAATTTACTTGTGAAGTATGCTTGTGGATGAGATTTTTTTTTTTTTTTTTTTTTTTTTTTTTTTTAATGATGTGGCACTGCCAGTAACTTTATTAAATTTATATATAAGGAAATACAGAGTAAATCAAAAATAAATCTATACTAAGTACTAGCTATCCCCCATAGTTATATTACAAACCCGTTTGAATCAACCTATTATCGTCTTTCCCTCCATCAACTCCACTAAGTGCATACTTAATGAAAATTAACATCGGCAAAGAAAGATAAAGAAGACGTCAGTGCCTATCTAAAAATCTGAGAACGTATAGCCAAATTTGTTCGCTAGGTATATCCAAGTCTTCCAGTTAAAAGAGGGCTTGATGATTGTCTGTGAGGCAGGGTGAACCAGCACTTCGTTTACGCTTGTCTTGTTTAGTAATGCCTATTGAATGCTCTTTGGCGATTAATAAGTTGCAACAGTGTTTTCAGACATCATCGTATAGCTTTTGGTAGAAGAGGAGCAGCGAGCGTGAAATGATGGAAAGGCATCGCTCTTTATTGCTAGTTATTTTATGAACTGTATCTATTAGGGAAGACGGAATTTTGGATTAAATGATGTTTGTGTAGCTATTAGAAGCATTTGAAGGTGATGCGAAGGTGTTGTTGAATACATCCTCTAGTTCAGTTTGGTGTGTTGTGTATTTAGTTCTGCATGAGGAGCTCAGTTGGTCAATAAGATCATTTTTTGTAGCCACGATTGTGTCCATAATTTTTGAGGAGTACTATGGACATGTTCAAATATGGAAAGCTGTTTCAGCAGCCATATTGCAACCTACACAAGGCCAGTATTCATATAAATCTGGTCGTAATAATGTGAGGCGAGACAGTGAAGGGAGTTTGTCGATGAAGTTTTTAATCATGAATGATTTGAGCTTGCATGAAACAAAGGATGTAACGAGAGAAGAAGTGTTCATCGAAAAAAGGTTCCAGATAATGAACCAATTTATAGATTTGTTGACTGTGAGTACTCTGAGTTCATCATTCCTGTTCAAATCCAGAAAGTTGCCAAAAGCTTGTGCGGCAAAGTGTTGCTTGAGAAAACCTCTAATAGAGACCTCAATTGGGATATTATTAAAGCAGAATGAGAGATCTGATGAGGGGACATTATTAAGTAGCAAGGATAGGAAAGGTGTATTACAACCATCTTTAGCTAATCTATCCGCTATTTCATTGTATTGGTTTCCAGCATGTGCTTTGATTTTGTGGAGTGAAACTTGGAGGTTGAGGTGGTCAGTGATGTATCGGATAATTGTGGATGAGATTTAATAATTATATCAGATGCAATACTATTGTAATTTTGTTTTAAAGCTTTATCTGCTTTATAAAATTCTATAATACCCGACAACCCGGTAAGTTCTCGGCAAAAATTTCGTTATGTGTCCCATACATTATGAAATTAGCTGCAATAACCGGTTAATTAACCGGTTAAAATTATCTTTGGCCAGTATTATAAATTTGGCCAGAGTTTTGTCAATCATAAAAATCTTAATTCTGGCCGGAAATTGAATTTCGGCCGGATTTAAATTCATCTATTTTAACCGGTTAAAAAATCTTTAACCGGTTCCAACCTCTAATCATTTGTTTTAACGCAACCAATTTCAATTGAAACGCCTATTACATTTATTTATTGAATGTGTAAAATAAACGAGGAAGTAAACAAAATTTACTTTTTTTGATAGCTCATTCGAAAATGTTTTCAAGATTAAAATCAACTAGATATTTTATATCCTTAAATAAATTTCCTTTGAAAAGCTTAAGTAAATCATGCTCATTGACCAAATAATGTCCTATAAAAATATTAAAAGCTATTTACATTCTTAAGGATTTAAAGACAACTAATGCTTACGACCATGGTTTTTAAATCCAAATTGGAAATCAATAGAACATAATTCGAAATAGGTTTTAAAGGTTTGAGGGTTTAGAAAAAAGACAAAGATTGTGTTTAATCCACAGAGGATGCCCACGTGTTTTAGGTTATTCTTTTGGAATAGAAATTTCGTTGACCGACATATCAATAATTTTTCATTAAATTCTCGTGTTAGATTGTAAATTTAATTTTAATTTTTTATGTAAAAATAAATGAATTACTGTACAAAAGTTTATAATGCTTATATTTCGGAAAGGAAATTAGGAGCGGTTAAAGCTACCATACGTAAACTAATAGGCGACCGCACATTACTACTGTTAAGACAAGTATTATAACTCAGCTCACGCAATTACAAACATACAAAAATACCACATTCTTATTAATAATAATTTTCTTCCCACCTACCTTCCCGTTTACTATGCAGATTGTGAGATGAAGTCTCAAACTTTCGAAAAACATATACGGTTCAAACAAATTGATCATAACTTTTTGAAAATATCAACGGCGTAAATTTTTAATTATCTGACCCACCCATCCTCCACAATTTATATATATAAAACGTTAAATAAAATTTTATCGTTAAATGATGGCAAATAAGATTTCACCATAATCCCAATACTATAAGGTGTTATTAAAGCATGATATGATATGGATTTTTGAATTAGTTCCAATTGTATGATTATTCGCCACAAAAACCATACCGTATGTTCAAATCCATAATTAAATTAATTATAGTTTCATCGTCAGATACAGTTTCAATATCTTGAACAATAAACGGATTTGCTTTGAATAGAATGACAATCAAAAAAAAAAAAAATATAGCCCTGTTCAATCCGGAAAAAAAGTAACCAATCAAATCAACGCAATTTGGCTCGATCGAATCATGTTGGTCACTGCCGCGCGTCACGTTAGTTTATCACAGACGAACACGTGGATCGGTTTGATAACGAATCATTTAAGGACACGTCTTGCGGTCAATCCGATCTAAGAATTGAGCAGGGCTAATAAGTCGCGTTGATAGTTGTTTTGATTTTTACATTATAATAGTAAAATCCGATGCAAAGTTTAAAAGAAGTTTTTAAAATAGTAACTTAATTTATTAATATAAAATTTTTGCATTTATCAAATAGAAGTATTCAAATAATCGAATTAAAAAATTAAAAAACTTTATTATTATTCGGTTAATTCCTTTTAAATATCTAAAATTTGTACGATTGGTATATTTTGATGCAAAAGTTAATTTGTATATAATTTCCAAATTCTGGTAAAATGAAATGCGACGAAATTTTAGAAAATCCATACTTGTATGAAATTATTTGTCATACCCCTGAAAATTGGAATATCTTCAGACACCCGAAAATCGAAAATCAATTTCAGACACCCGAAGATCGAAAATCATTTCAGTTAATAACAAAAAGAATTAAATCCGGTCGTATTATAATTAATAGAATCATAACAAATATGTAAAAAGTAATTTTTTTTTTTTTTTTTTATAAATTTTGTAAATCTTTTCTTTTTTAATTAAGCTATTCTATTAAGTACCTAAGAAGTTTTATACTCGACTCGCAAATAGTTTAGATGATTGTACCTTTATTTCTTCTTTATTTTGTTGCTAAATGATAATCTATTCATTAGAAACGAAATTCTTTATAAATATAAGAACTTTCCACCATTAACCTTCTAACAAAAAAAAAAATAAAAATAAAAAACAACTTTAATAAATATAAGAACTCACCACCAACAAAAAAAAATAAAAATAAAAATAAAAAAATAAAAAACAAACAAACAAATTACAAAATGAATACCGTCATCAAATTCAATTCATTTATTTCAATTCTCTTATTATTCTCTTTATTCGCATTGTTCAATGAAGTAACAGCTCTAACTATTCCAGATTCATGTAACCTTTTCTTTTTTCTTTTTCTTTTCTTTTCTTTCTTTTTAAATTGATCTTATTTAATCATTTTATTTTCTTTTTAAAATTGATCTTTTCGACTATTTTCTTTATTTAGCATGTACTGGTAAGTTTATTTTAATTTTTTGAAAAAAAATAATATATATATATTTTTAATAAAATCTTTTCCTTCTTTCCCGCTCACAGGAATTGAATTCATTTCTCCTAGAGCTGGTGAAATTTTGGCTAATTATCAAGATTATAAAGTAGAATTTAAAATAGAAAAAAGCGGTATAATTGTACTTGGCCTTGACTTATATGATGAAAAAGGAAATTTTGTTGAATCATTAAAGCCAGCAAAGGGAGCTGATAGTTTGTCCAATATTGAATATGAGGCTTGGGCATATGTAAAACTTGAAGTTCCTTTATCCATTACATTACCTGCTAGATTTAAGCTTAAAGTTTTGGCCACAACTAAATATGACTTGCTTTGTTCTAAATTTAGTAAACTTTTTAATATATGGGAACAATAGATTAGCAAAGATATTATTTTTTTTTTTTATAGTCGATCCTAATAAAAATAATTTTCCCACCATTCATATTTTTTTTGAAAAGATTTATTCATTTGCTTTATATACATAGTAAATTTAAATATTTAGCTTTTCAAGACGACATTTTTTTTTATTCATTTTGTGTTAAAAAAAAAAAAAAATATTAAAATACAGTGTACATCTTATGAAGATTTATCAAACAATTTCGGTTCGTTGCATAGTTCAGAGTTTGAGTATAACATAATCGATGTAGGAAATGATGCAGACCACAAAGAATTTCATGCTCACTCTGTAGTCCTTTATAGTAGGTCATCATATTTTCATAGGTCAGGCGGGTTTATTTTTGAAAATGATTCTACTGGAACAAATAATTTTCTGTTTTCTATTAAAATCGATGAATATACCTATGAGCCCAATATTATTCGGGATAACGATAAAAGTAGATTTTATCACTAATTTATAGAGGCGTTCAAATCCTCCAATGGATTTAAAGAAGATTGTTCCGGAAAGTTCTTTTCGTAGGAAATATAAATTGGAAAGGAAAGCTATTACGAACCAACCAACAATAACCCAGATCCAAAAATTAAAAATAATAATTAGTTGATTGGTGGTGAATCTTCTTATTTTATGTTAAATAAGTTTTTTTTTTTTTTTTTTTTTTTAGGATCAATTTTTCTTGGATTCATTTTTTTTTATATCAAAATAATCGTTGCGAATGTTATTTTTTAAGTTCTTGTTTATTAATTCTAGGTGTGGTTAATGATCAGAGGAACTTCCTAATGTAGATATATCAAATCTTTTCTCTTCAACGATCAATTTTGTTTTTAATCTTCTAACAATAAAAATTCCCGGTAATTTTCATTCGTAGTCACGATATAAAATCAAAATGATCCGTTGAAGTAAATTATTTACTATCAAGAAGATAGAAGTTGGCAAGAAACGCTATATTAAGTTTTGTTATACACGAAATGCAAAGATTTTTTAAACAAAAAAATTTTTTATTTCGATTTTCGTGTGAATAAAATAATTAAATATTGTAAAAAGTTTCAATGTTTGTGTTATCATGATCCTTTATTTTATTTCATTTTTTTAAATAATTGTATAGTAAATTGGATGAAAAGTATGTGAAATTCTGTGTATTCATGAACTTTGTAGTAAATCATAAACGTGATATCTTGATGCGATATTTCATTTGATTACATAAAAAAAGAGTTGATTGTCGCGTGAATAATTTTTTAAAAGGAAAAAGGGTCATTTGATTGGATTTTGTTTTATAAAGTGTTTAATATAAAATTTACGTCATAATTTTCAATGACTCATGATTACTTAACAGCAGCACTTTTAACGCATAAAATAATTTGTTCCAAAAAGCAATAAACATTTTCAAAGTCTAATTTTTTTTATTAAAAAAAAATGCCAAAAAAAAATCCTTTGGCTTATGCTTGCCGCAGTATGCGAAAGCAAGCAACAACAACAACAACTACTACAACAACAACAACATCTTCTACTACAACAACAATAACAACATCTACAGCTACTACAGCAACGGTTCCAGGAAGCTTTAATTACAAGCATAATAGAACTATGTATGCATTAGGTCATTTCAAATTATTTTGTTATTATTATTATATATCTCATTCTTATATATTTTTTTTTTTAGGAAGAAGATTTAGGAGGAGGACTGCTGAGTAATCAAGAAAATTGCGGAGTTTGTGGAGTGAAATAATTTACTTTGGATGTTGTGTATGTATTGATTGTTTTGTCTTGAAAACCAACTTACTGCAAATTTCTTTATACGACCCTATAGGATCATGCTAGAGGTTCAAAGTATAAAACCGTTCTGATCGTTTTTAACAAATATGAGAAAATTTTTTATAAATTAAAATAAATAAATTTATTCCGAAGGATGAAGTATTTAATAATATTTACATCTACCAAATGATTGTGTATCAATTTTGTTATTTTTATTTACAATTTCAAGTTTATGTGTTTACTATTTTACATACACGTTGAAATATTAATTGAGCGATGAAAACATAAATTATTACTTTTCCTGTCACGAAAAATTTTATTGATTTCCTCAAATTATGTATCTATGAGGTAAAAGATTTTTTTTTTTCGTACGCAAAATGAAAAATAAGTAATAAACAAATGTATGAAACTGTACAATAATTTATAAGATGCAATATAGATGATGTATTTGCTTTTTTAATCATATGACTTTAACGAAAAAAGGGAAGAAAATTAATAAAACTCTTTAATTTACCTTCATGCAATGACTAATTTTGATATAAGTTTGGTAATAAATCCTTTGTTTTATATCAATAACGTTGTCCATCTAACTAATTAATTAAATCATTACTTATATAATTAGGGAAGTCTGAGGCGTTATTAAAATAATAATAATAATAAATAAATAAATACAGTCAACTCTCTCTAAATGCACCCACTTGAGACCCATAATGAAAATTTTAAAAATTGTGCATTTAAAGAGAGGGTTTGCATTTAAAGAGAAATTTTCGATATGATATATATATATTGGGACTGAATAATTGCGCGCATTTTAAAGAGAAATGATATAGTGTGAGCATTTAGAGAGAGTTGACTTCTGCGTAATAAAAAAGTTTGCTGCGGCCGCAATTATCAAATCCATCTATAACTTATTTGACGCTCAATCCCAGAGAAGCATAAGGACGTCGGAAAGCCTAAACCTCTTCGACTGTACAACCAACAAAAAGTTAGAATTGGTTCAATCAGCAGCGCAAAAAATAAACTCAACTTCTACAACATTAAGCAAAATGGTACAAGCTTTCGGCATTCTTTTCTCCATACTAGAAAGGATGGATTACCGGGTAATAAAAAAAATTTTAATCAGAAATTTTATTTTTTTTTTAATACTTACCCAAAATGGTATACATTTATGACAGAGACAAGTTAAAATTTTATAGAGGTCTTTATAACAAAATTTCACGTATATATTTTGAAATTGCTATTGTTACATCTAATATAATGCCGGCCGAAACATCGTACCTTTGCTTGTATTAGTAGCCAGTCTGGTGAGATGACGGTGGTAGATGAAAAAGGATGGTAGGATCCTAATTAATTTTTTTATGAGTTGGATATCGCTGTTTTAACTTCATAACTTTTAATTTGTAACTTCGTTTATTTTTCCTTATTTTTCATTTTTTAAGTTTTAATTAGTATGTTTTAGTGATTAGCATTTATTTAGTTTAATATAGAGCAATTATTAAATAAATATATTGTCACATTTACTTCATTTTATTCAATTAATTCCTTTTGCTTATAATATGAACACAACACTATGGAAAACTTTTTTATATACTTTAATATGAATAGGTTAAATGATATTGATAAAAGTATTTAATTAAAATAATCTTATTTATATAGTAGGATTATTACAAAGTTGGTCGATTTTTCAATATCTCGATATACTTTGACATATAAGCCATTACATACGATGTAAAATAATACTAATGAATAAAATCGAATGAAAAAGGAAAAATTAATAAGAGAGAAATTGTTGAGAAATAAATGATTATTACTTACTTCGTGAGTGGCATTATGTTCAAGAGCAAAGTTATGCGCTAGTTCGTGACAAACCATTATGAACCAATAGGACATGGCATTACATATATTTCCAAATTTACACTCATCATCATGCAATTCGAGGTAAGATTTAAAATTGAAATACAATGCTTTGTCCTTATTAAATGCAACTTTACTTGAATCATCATAATAATAGACATGAATATCTTCGAGCTTGAGTTGAACTACTTCAGCAAGCCTTATTAGGATATTCACAAAACGAGTCAACTGATCACTATATGTATGAAATAAATTCGTCGATTGTGTATTGTAGACCTTAATCCCTTTATAAGTTCTAGCTTCGCGCAATAAATTTTCTAAAATGATTGTAGGCCAATATTAAAAAAAAACGATATTTCATAGTATAATCATTAATATTATATATGGTTCGTACCAGGTATAATAACGCAGCGGTTTAGAATAATATATTTGTTTTTCCCAATACGGCCTCTCGAGTTAGAACGACAAGCATTCATGGCATCGTGTAAAACATTACGCAGATTTTCGGGTGTTGCAAAGGGAACTTGTATGCTGGAAACGAATTTATCATCGCTGTCGGGTTGTTCGTTAGGAGCCTCATCTTCGTCAGACTCTACAATGACACTGCGTCGTAAATTAGGTAAGTCGGGCATACAATCAACTGGAAATATCTTTGACAACGTTGACAAAGGTGTACTTAAAATTGCGAAGATATGTAAAACATTTTCCAGTTTGTTGGAAAGGTAGATATTCCTGGCTAAATGCTGCGAAATATCAAGAAATTCTGAATCTCGTGTCACGTAAAGAATTCCATCTTTAATACAAGAAAAAATAGATTTTGTTTGAGGATTATAATTTGCTAATTTATAAGTTGCTTTTATATGTTTAACGCTTTTAACTTTCAAGTTCTTAAGCCATTCTATGTCTTTCTTAATATCTTTCTTACGATCATGGTATAATAAGAGTGCTCTTTCCATGATTGTATTTTGTATATTTCGAGATTTCACAGTTTCATGAGGCAGTCCCATTGGATTTGCATTTTCTTTTACGGATTCATATAGTGATTTACATCCCAAATACTAAATCAAAAATAAAAATAAATAAATAAATATAAATAATAATTTAAATCAATACATCATCATTAGCAACGTACTTTATACATAGTTTTCAAGTTGTCGTCTTCAGGGGCCGTCAGCGGATCAAAAATTTGTTGATATGCTGTGTCGTCATTTATGAAAATCTTATCCGCTGAAGCCAATACAACAACACCATTCAACTTAAAAGCCGCCAAAATAGGTGCGCGTTTCATATCTTTAACTAGACTTGATTTATTAAATATTTCATATTGATAATCAACGGCAACTCTATTCAAAATTTCTAAATATTTTTTTTCATCTCTTCGAATGGAATCGGAATTCCAAATTTTACGTGATGATTTCACTAACAATTCGGCGATATTTTCCGATCTTGGTGTGGTTATTACACCGCAACTTTTCAGAAAGTTATTGGCTTTTTCTTCAAAATCAATAAATGTAAAGAAATCATTCAAACAATTCAAACTGGAAAAAAAAAATAAATTAGCACATGATACGAAACGAACTTTATTGAACGTTCAAGCAGTATATACCTGCATCTTTGATCAATTTTTTCGAGGAAACAACTTTGCGGATTTGTACAGTGAATTTCACCAGATCGATTTGTATCTCGAACTGGAATAAAATTGTGATCTTTAAGAGATTTCCAATTAGAACTTCCCGGCTGCGAGGCTAAAAATTCAAATATTTCTTTCGCCTTATTCACATCGTGCGGTGGATCTACAATTAACCTACTTTGGAGTTCTTCGCTACTAGGATATTGACGAACGCCAAGCTGTTCCACTTTAAACCGTAAATCTTGACGTACTACTTGGAATTTCATTATCGTACATTCAGGTTTAATAAAACACTCTAAAGGCTTTGCGTAACTTCCCGGTTTCGAACAAGGTAAAAAGGCAACAGTAACTCTAGAATGGTCATAACAATTCGAATATTTTTCATTAAAATTATCAATAAAATATTTAAGAGCCTTTTCACGAATCTTTGGATCAGTAGATGATGATGCGGCTAATTCTAGGATCGTTTTAAGCGTGGGATATTCACGCAAACCAAGATCAATTAAAAATTTTGCTACGGTAAAAAGACACATATAAACAACATAAATATGTGTTCTTTTTTTTTGTTTAACGACTTTTAATTTAGGAAATACAAGAGAAAAAAAATACCTTCTGGTGCATTGCGAGACCAATTTTTTTTCCAATCAATTATAGGTAAACCAAGTTCACGAAATAATGCTATAGGAACATGTAAATCACTAATAATGAAGCGTCGAATTCCAGAATTTGAATACATATAATCTTCAAGCCACAAATCACTTTGAATTCTAGAATTTGTATAAACATTATCTTCTTTAGGCCAGATGGGTATATTTTTTAATCTTGTTTTTTCATCGTCATCGATATGATTCGATTCTGAAGCAAGATATTTTGCAAGTTTCATATGATCAAAATCCTTATGTCTAACAAGACGATCAAAAATGAGATTTAATTCAACAACCTATAGATATATTCGGAGATTGAGTTTTATGTTGTCGAAAAATATAAATATTAGATAGCATTAATGGTTGTTGTTACCTTTCGAACACCTAAAAGTTGCATCACATTCTGAACACTCAAAGGTTTTTGAAATTTAATTGTTGGTAAGTCAGAAAATAAATTAACATCTTGGAAATAAGCTTCGTTAGGAAGTTTCATTCCTAATTCAGTAGGAATACACTTCTTATGAACAAATAGCTGACGAATTATTTCCTTGTTAGGTTTTGAAGTTTTTTTTAGACTTTTTTCTAAAATATTATGAACCCTTTCAGCGAATGTAGGACAGTATTCCAAATTAGGATTGTTGACAATAAACTCTGCCCAGGTAACCAAAGATAACTCTGACAATCCTAAACAGTTAAGATCACTTGTTTGCAAATTTCTAGAAATGGAATATGGAAAAACATCAATTGGCAAATCTATATCTGGTGGAATTATTCCCGGATTCAAGTAATAATCAAATGTTGATAAAGCTCGATATATATCTCCTATACGTACAAAAGCAAGTTGCTTGAACTCTGTACTTTCCGAATCATTATTATTTCCATTCGAACTATAACCAATCCACCATTTCAAAAGTTTAACCATTTCATCCTCACAAAGTATTCGACTTCTCAATTCAAGTATAACATCTTGAAAAGTCAACCCTCTTATAATATTCTTTGCTCTTGCCTTATCAAAAAATGTAATACATTGTTCGAATACGATATTTGGTACAATCGGAACTTGTTTGATGATTCCTGCTATACCTGGATCAGGAATGCGAATACTAGATATCGGCAAGACACCATTTGTTGACAAGACGGACAATTGTTCCGAACAATTGAAAAATTGCGATTCTATTATTTCACCAACACGTGAATCCGGCGTACTTTTTTGGAACGTAAAGTGTGATAAAACATGTGCTGCTCGTTTTTCAAGCCATTCGCGAACAAACTTTTTGCCTTCACCGTTGGATCTCAAGATACAACCATTACAAATTTGTTCAATTTGAAACATTTCTTCTTCGTACACAATTCTACACAATATCCCTGTTATACGTAATAATTCTTCATTATATATAGACAGAGTCTTTTCCACCAAGTCGATCGAGTCTCGGTTCATCTAGATAGTATCATTATAATATATTAATTAAAAAAATATATTTTAATAAAATAGATGCCAATAAAAGTACATACAGTAGGAATTACACGAGCTGCAATGTGAGAACAACATCCAGTGGTTTGATGGGTCGGAAAACCGATATATATCTTTCCTTGCTCTGGATATGAAAGTAAATCTTTAAAGACGTGAGTAGACGTATTACCCTCGGATGAATTATCAAATTCAGGATATATTATTTGGATTGTGGTCTTATTAGGAGGCTTCTTTCTGGTAATTCGCTCTATTTCTGCCGAAAACCTCTCATCGACTAGAACTTCCACATTCCCACTAATAGTTCTAAGAGATATAGAATTTGTTTCTTCCATTTGATCATACGTAATTATATTATTTGTTGGGACAAGCAATTTCTTGACGCTTAATATAACATTCCCAACCTTTACTGAAGTAAGTTTAAACATCCTTTGTGGAGAAAATGGGTCAAATATAAAAGTGTTAAACATTCTCGGTCTTTTAATATCCTTTGACAGCTGTATCACCAATGTATGATTAAAATACACTGATATTTCTCGGAGATTTCCCGTAAATCCCTATTTTTTCCTTTTATAATTAATACTAATGTTATATGGTAATAACATATACGCCTAAAAATAAATAAGTTTACCAATGAATTAACCAAGAAATTTGAAAATTTATCAACACTTGGAAACTAAATGAAACAATAAACGCGTCTAATGTTAGCTAACTTTATATATAAATAAAGAATTTTTTTTTTTAAATAAAAAAAATGTGCTGTATTAATTACCTCTATAGGTTCTCTCATATCCATTAAAAATGTTGTCCAATCCTGGTAATCATCGCCAGTTAGTCCTTTTCTAGAAAATAATTGATCTCTACACCAATAAAAGGCCATTGCTTGTCCACCGGAAACAACACTATTCGAATCAAGCTCAAACGGGTTATTCGCGTTTTATTAAAAAAAATTGAGTATAAGCTAACTTACAATGGGTTTTCGCAAACCGAAAACAAAGAATAAAAGCCTACGCCAAAAGCTCCTATCTATTAAATGAAAATTAATTTTGATACAACAAAATAATCAATCCAAAAAGAAAGTATACTTTTTGTTCATTAGGATTTCCTTCGGCAATTCTCTTCAATCGATCCCAATCTTCGGATCTAAAAGCGAAACCATCATTTTTGAAAAGGATGCGTACGATTTTGTCCTCTACTATATTTTTATCCGTGTCTGGATGTGCCGTTTCGAATATAATTTGAATACTCGAAGACTTTGCATCATCTTCATAATAATAAAATATATTGTATTATATATTCTATCAGATTATAACGTGAAAAATCGCTAAAAAGGTTATTTACCGGAATTTTGCATTAACTCCCGATATATTACGAATTCAGAAGCATATCTAAATAATTAAAAATTGGTATTTTTAAGTAGTAGTTTCTTAATAAAATTCCCCAAATTCCGTACAACTTACCGAGCCAAAATGTTGTCGATCAAAAGTCTTTGGTTAACTTCGACGCGTTCCGCCTCTGAACTCGAAAGAACATGTTCTCTTAAAACGTCTAGGGACATCAGAAAAAGATTATTACTTTTTTTTTTGAAATTTTTTTTTTTTTGAAATATGGCTGTAGACTTGAATTTATACTTGTTTTAAAAAAGAAGTCATTTAACCATAATTCTGATAAATCATGGACCCGATGACTTCTTACTTCAAAACAAATGTAATCATTCGATGTCTTTTTGGTCTGGAGTGATGCCGTACAGATATAATGATAAAGCATTTAAATATGTAATTTCTTTAACAAAGAGGAAGACCAATTGTTCGGTGTTAGATTGTTTTTTTTTTGTTTTCACACGGATGTTGATCATTTACTGTTTGTAGGAAAAAAAATTCACATAATTAAAATTCGATCTGCAATATGCGCAGCAACGATGTGAAAAAAGATATTCGTGTTACTAGTAGCTAATCCTTAACTTAACAAATGTGGCATCGGCAAAAGTGAAGTCCAAGATAGCTTACAAAACATCAATTTTTGAAGATTTTATCTATATAATAAAATTGCGCCTGATCTACTCCAAAATTTTCATAGTCGGATTTTTAGGTCGGCATATTCCGATCCGTGTTGTCATATTGATCGGAATAACATTATCGGTATATTCCGGTAGATTACTAATAGTGTATCTGTATACTGGGAAATTTTGTAACAATAGATCGGGTGTGGTGTAATTTTTTTTGCTATAAAATGAAAAAATAAATATTACTATTTTGATAGGCAACTTTTCACCCCCGACGCAACGCGGCGGTTTACACCTAGTTTATGCCTTTTTTGACAATCCAATCAAAGAACGGAATCGCTTTCGGAGCATTTTTCATCATGGGATACGACACCGGGGCGTTTCTCTCCTTCAGAGCATTTTCCTTAACGAGAAACGTTCGTTACGTTTCTCCTCTCCGCTACGCATCCAGAGCGATAGTATGGCGCAGTAATTAAAATTGGATGTTTCACACTTTAATTTTAACCTTTCTGCTGAATATTAAGATCATACCGCTTCATTGATAGTAAACGGAGAGGCTTGATTAATTCTGTAAAAGTTTCAATTTGGCTACGGAACCCAAGTTTCAATCAACGAATACGCTTTGAAAGACACCAGAAGGTTTTTCTTGAATTTCCGGAAATTCATCATGAAAACAAACGCACCGGAAGCGAACAAACATAATTCGGGTCTGCTCGCGCGATATGACAGTGATGGTAAAATATATGTCCATTTACTGTTTATTTCAATTTCAAGCAAAGTAAATTAAAAAAAAAACATATATATATATTAAATGCCCTTGTAACTTGTGGTCTTTCTATAAAACATATCAAATAATTATCAATATTCAAAATCTAGTAATACCTGAAAATAGTATCTTACATAACGCCACACCAAAAAGCTTAGAATGAGATGAAGCGAGTAAGTCATTCACCGACATCAAGCTTGAATTAAAAATTTTAAAATTGATATAATTGACGGATCAATCCTGTACTACCCCATCTTATACCTTTCTTACAATATCTCGTTAGATAAATTTCAAAGTTGTATTAGAAAGGTGGAATCTTATAATTGACTCTCTAACTTGAGATAATTCAAGTATTTACACGCAGAAATGAGCATGTGACCGTTAAGAGGCCTTTGCGAAATATTTTATATATTATTTTGTTAGATATTGGAATTAAAAATTGCTCCTTTGTCATTAAAAAAAAACTATATACGAAAATAGAATTTTCGAACCGAAAGTTGAAATTATATAAAAGCACTCAAAATTATTATCGGCTTATTCTTACAATTATAATTAGCAATTAATAGGGTTTGAACTTTCCTCCATAAAGTGATTACAATTCATACAGGTAACAACATCCTATGACAACGATAAAAAAAACTTATTATTAAGATCATTTAAACGGATATGCTATTTCGAGAGAGAAAAACGTAATAAAATACATATTTTTAGTTTCCTAATGATCGATTTTAAATTATAAACCATCTAACAATAACAAACATCATCATTGTATATGTCTTAAAAATAAAAGCTTGACGCAGTCAAGTCACGAGAATTTCCTTTTTTGATAATCTTTTTGGTTATTATAATGTTTCAAATTAATGAATGGCCAAAATTATGGCTTTAAAATTAAGCGTGATATTGTGGCGCACATCTTTATGTCGATCAATTTTTAAAAAAGAATCAGAATCAACTTTCCAAAATTAGAACTTTTTAATTTTTCGGAGACTCTCCATTATAAACAGTATGAATACTCAAATACTCATTTCAAATGTTTTTCCCGTATGAAAAAAAGATGTTAAAAAGAACAATACCTTACTTGAAATGATCGATTGTATTATAAATGACACACGTGCATTCGTAAAAATGCGATTCGTCTCGTTGACGATCCGTTAAATTTTTTTTTTTTTTTTTTTTTTTTTCAAAAAAAAATATTTATGGGTCATTATTTGTTGTACACAGGTTTCAAAATAATAAAAAAAAAAATTTATTATTTATTATTATTATTATTATTATTATTTGTATATCAAATTATTCACCGCGAAACCCCGTCGCCAATGCCGCGTGACATTAAAATCTTTCACGTGGAAGGACCTATCCACATGCGACTTTTTGTTAATTTTTCGGACTAGATTTGCAGTCAATTAATTAATTTTTTTTTTTATTTTTTTTTTATTTCCCCTTTCATAATTTTCTTCCTTTCCTTCCAAAAGGTTAATTTCAATTAATTAATTAATCATTATTATTATTATTATTATTATTGTTACGATGAATTCTCAAACTCGATTGAATTCGAATTGTTTAAAACAAATATTTGAGTACATCGTCGATTCGTCAGAATACCTTCATATAACGCATAAGACGTTACATTCATGTATTTTAGTAAGTAAACATTTTTGTGAGAATGCGATGCCAATACTATGGAGGAATCCATGGAATCCTAGCACGAATAAATTCAAGAACAATTATAATAAAAAGCTTTCCATCAGCAAGACGATTTTATCATGTCTATTGTATCATTATCAACAAGAGAACGATTTGATGGACATTTACGAGTCAACGACCTCCATGGATGGTCCAACCTTCAAACCACCTTTATTTGATTACATAAGTTACTGTAAATATGTCAATTATCAAGACATTGAGAGGATAACTCGAACGTTATTGGAGAGGAAACATGAGTTAAAAATTTTTATTAAAAACAAACATAAAAAGGTTACTTTGCTCGAGTACATTTGGAAATTATTCATGATCAAATGTAATAATTTGGAGTACCTCAGGTGTCCAAATAATTTCAATATAAGTTGTTTACCGGGATCTCAAAGTTCTTTAGAATCTTTGAGGGAATTGGAATGTGAGCTCAAAAAGGATTCAAGTCATTTGAAATTAACCGTAAATTTTACCGGGTTGGCTAAAATTTGTCACAACTTGAAAAGTATCACCATCAAACCTTTGGATAAGGATAACAGGGGTTTGGCCGCCTTGATTAGGTCGCAGAATGGTTTGAGGGAATTAAATTTATTCACGAATCAACCTATGGTGAAGGATTTGAGATTTATCGATCAAGCGTTATTAATTCAATCCCGTTACATTGAAACCTTAACGATTAAAGGAAATTTTTATCTTGAAAATTCTTTCCTTTCCTCTTTATATAATTTAAAACGTTTGCAAATTAAATTCGCCACAATCAATAACATAAATTATTTCTTGGACACTGCCATTTTACCAAATCTTGAATCCTTATCTATTCAATTAAATTATTATACCTTTGATTTTTCTTTAGATCATTACACTAGATTAATTTCAAGGACAAAGGGTCACCTTCGGAAATTCGAAATAATTAATGCCACGAGACCCCCGACAAGGATACTTGGGTTACAACCTTACCTACAATCATTAATTACTCACTGCCCTCAAATTAATAGTGTTAGAATCTGGTACATTAATGATTTTTTGGATGATTTTAAACATTTATTAACTAATGCCGAACATTTAAATTCCATCGAACTGGATTGTTTGGAAATGCATTTTAGTAATTATTATGCGATATATGATGATGATGATGAATCGGAAAGGGAGAGGGAACTTCACGCAAAACTATTATTGGATGCCCTGGCACGTTTATCCTCGTATAATCTAAATCATTTGTATTTGCATAATCTTTGGTGGTTATTACCTCGAGAGTTAGATTTTTTTTTGGAATCTTGGAAAAAGAAAATGATTCGATTGACTTTAAAGCTTAAAGCTGATGGAAAGATATATTTGAATCCTTATTTAGACGTAATTGAAAAGCATGTTAAGGAAGGCACATTAACTGACGACTCGGGCTTGTGGGTTAAAGAATTTCCATATTAGATTATGATGTAGACTTCATTTTTTTTTTTCATTTGAACAATTTATAAATAATCAGAGGCAGTACCAATTTGATGTGTAAATTTTTTTTATATATAAATAAAAAAACATATATTTACTATCACAAAAATTAATAATTATAAATGAGAAACTCGTATCCTTTGATTTAAATTAATTACTTTTAAAAAAAATAAAAAAAAATAAAAAATAATAAAAATTCACGACAAATTCCAAAGTATTTACAGTAACGTCTCACCTTCTAAGGTTGGATCACGATGAGAAATTTGTCGTCGAACCATTTCCCAAGGTATTCCCAATTCCGCTTGTAGCGGAAGAATGATTTGAAGTCGGAACCATCATTGGAGGAGGTCCAGAAACCGTATTCGAATAAGAGCTTCCAATTCCATTTCCATTTCCACTTCCATTTCCGATTCCCAACCCGATCCCTATTCCACTTCCACTTCCGCTTGAACTTCCTCCGACATTACTATTGTTAATATTGTTATTATTATTATTATTATTATTATTTATCACTTTAGCCAATAAACTATTTTTTAAAATTTGTTGTTTTAAAAATTTATCATTAAAATTTAAATGTAAAACAAATCTATTAGGCAAACCACCAGGTTTTTCCATAGTCCATTTTAACTCTTTGATCTCTTCCTTCATCCAAGCCTCGATCTCATTTTCAAAATTCATTAATAAAGTATAACCAACGCCGGCATAAGGTATTAAAATATTTTTGATTTTCTCGTTAAAGGGGGCCAATTCGTTCACGATGATATTTGGGTTTGGTGGTATTAGTTTAAAAATCGGTTGTTGCCTGTCGTGATAAAATGTGATCATGATCTTCTTCTCAAATAATGACGCCACACAATACATCACCTCTTTTAACGCATATAAAAATCCATTAACATTATCTACTACCGCTTTATTTGCAAATGTCAATGATTGGGTGGAGTTAATGCTTGAAGTTTCTTCATGTAACAGAGATTCAATCAAATCATCATCCGATTTTGTTGGAATTAAAAAAAATAACAATTCTTGTTCTAATTCCGCTCGTGTAAATGGTAACGTTGGACAACTCGTTCCTCCGAATCCAGCCAAATTATCCATCCTTCCACCTTCGAGATTATTTGATGACGGTGATGGTGATGATGTGAAGGTTTTTGTTACCCCTTGAACCAAGTCTATGGAAGAATTATTAACTTGATATGGTGACGAAAATTCCGGCCAATGAACTTGTCCCGTTCGATAATATTGTAAAATGTATCTAAATATATAACCATCCCGATCAAAAAAATATTCATTGACATTTGTTGGATGTAACATTTCCTTATTTCGCTCTGAAAACATGATTCCAAGTAATGTATCAGGGTACGCTGTAAGCGTTGATCTAAATGTCTCATACTACCAATTTCAAGAGAAGGAAGTTAATTATTAATTTAACGAAAATAAAAAAATTTTTTTTTTTTTTTTTTTCTTTTACTCTCTATCTTTTTCTTTTTTTACCTTGATTCCACCAACGTTCAGAATGATTCGATCTTCAATCATGGTTTTCTTACTATCATCATCAATACTACTACTACTACTATCATAATCAGTTCTTGTGAAATTTTCTTCAAAAACGGACATGTTGTTCATTTGTTCATTTAATTCATCAGACATTTTTTTTTCCTTTTGAAAACTTTCCAGAACGCAATGTTTTTTTTTTAAAAAAAAGAAAAAGAGAAATGAGGCGTAATTGCAATTTTATGCAATTTTACAATTATATTTATTTGGAAAAACGTATGACAAGGGAGCATGATCACACGATCATGTGGAAGCATTGCTGAAAAAGATCATCCAAATCGTCATTCATATGCTTCCCGTTTGTTAGTAACAAAAATGAGTTGGTGACACAAATAACAAAAGACAGTTAATTGTTTCCCGAATCACAACTTTGCTATTTTGGGACGAGCTAAATTGAATTAAGTAATATCCAAAAATGAACACATCACTAAATGTCACAAATCATGTGATGGTATAATTATATAATTATATATTTTTTTTTTTTTTTGCGGAAAAAAAAAAAAAATAAATTTTGAAAATTTGAAATTGTCAATTGTTTCGTTGAAACTGTCATCATTGCTCAACATTTTTACTCTCCTTTGGTAAAAAATGTCATTTTCAAAACCTACACTTTCCAGAGATTGCCTTTGGCAATTATTTGATATAATTGTTAATACATTTCAATGTAAAGAAATCCAAAAAACATTATTTTCATGTTTATTAGTGAATCGACAATGGTGTGAACTTTCCATTTTATTCCTATGGAAGAATCCATTTTTCAATCCAAACTTGCATAATCAAAATAAAAAATTGCTTTGCAAAACGATCCTTTCTTGTTCATCATTAACCAATTTCACCATGATTAAAGATATGAACAAAAATTTAATTAAATCATTACCAAAATTACAAGTTCCCTTATTCAATTATGTTGATTATATCCGTCATTTCAATAGCGCAGAAATCGAAATCATGGCACATTTATTATTCACCAGTGAGGAATGGAATCATCATACGAACGAACATCTTCATGATGTTCATTCTTTGATTAATGAACTTTGGAAGATATTTGTGCATCATTGTTCACCAATTTCACTCAAAAATATTCCATATCAAATGGATATTACATTGCTTACGAGGTCGGGATTATTCTTTTCAAAGATCACCGAATTGGAATGTGACAATTCATCGAGATATGATCAGCAATTAATAACTTCAACTTATAAAGCTATTGCAAAAGTTTGTAGGAATATTCAAAAGATCAACGTGAATAGATTTGAGGTGGATAACGAAGGGTTGACTTACCTCATCAAGGTTCAAAATGGGTTAAAAGAGATTAACATAATGATGGATGACAATACCGCGCATACCAATGTCTTTAAGGAGATAAGATCACAATCTAAATCTTTGAATCATTTAACCTTTAGTGGGAATGTGAGGTTACCAAATGAAATATTTACTTCCATGTCTAACCTAAAGTCACTTCATCTGAAATTGATTCATGAATGTGGGATAAGGCATAAAAAAGGGGCATATGAGGTCTTATCTTTAACTCTCATGCGTGCTTTGGAAAATGCGTCTTTGCCAAATCTAGAAAGTTTTTGCCTCAAGTACAATAATGATATTTCAGTTCCTTGGTTTCAACCTTTACACATTTTTCAAAAGTTAATTTCAACCACAAGAAATGGTTCAATGAGAAAGATTGATATTGAATCAAAGTTATCCGTTTATCCGGATTCTCATATACATGCTTATATGAAGACCATCACAACATTTTGTCCTTTGTTAGAGTTTCTTGGGATTTGTTATAAAGATATCGCTTATGAAGATTTTGAACAATTATTATTAAATTGTGATAAACTGAAAATATTAAAATTAGAATTCATTAAAGAACCTTTAATTCAAATCGAGTATGATGATGGTGAAGGTAATAGGAGGAGATATACAAAAATATTAGAATTATTGGCTGACATAGCCCCTGATTCTCTTCGTAAATTGTATTTGAAAAATCCCTTGTATATCACCAAATATAACCTTTGGGATTTTTTGGACATGTGGAAAAATAATGAAAGAAATCTTTTACATTTAGAATTAATCGGCATGATTGAAGTAAAGGAAGAGTATGAGGAAGTTTTTGAACAGTTCATTAGGAAGAATATTTTATTAAAAGATTCTACCATCAAAGGAAAATCTTTTTGCAACCTCTAAATTAGGAAGCTTTAAATCGGAAAAAAAAAAAAGACAAAAATATTGGGGTATACTTTATATTTGATATAGTTTTTAATACACGTGATGACATGTAACTTGTTTTATATGAAGGAATTCAATAAAAGTGTTTTATATAGTTTTTTTTTTAAATAAAGATATCGCGACACAAATCATTATTTTACAACTATTAAATATTTATCAATCGTTAAGGAAATCGTTCCGCACAAGCAACTTAACATGAAAGGTGATAAATTTAAAAATTATTTTTTAACCTTCACGTGGATAAAAATCTTATACATTAAGTTCAAGTATACAGAATTCTAACAATAATATACAGAAATGTGTTATATCCGATTCGCCTGAACTAATTAGTGTAACCAATCTTTTGAAGAACGGCATTGAGTTGATATTTTCGATATTTGAATAATCATTTTATTAATGAGACCTTTGCAATAAAGAGTAGAGATACTACCAGAGAAAATCAATTTCACTTTATAAACCAGATATAATTTTAACATCTATTCATTTCTTTATTTATCCTGGCAGTTTCACCCTTTTCTAATGCAAACGTCCCGAATAGTCAAAGAATAGACAATTAATTTTATTGAGGTATTCGAGGATATGTACTTTAACTCACAAAGCGTACCATATGATTAATGATCATTAAAACCAAAGTCCGAAGAATTTGATTGCAGAGTGTTCAACGTAAAAGTCGGGAATTCTGCAGCAGCTGATACTTAACGGTACGGTCAAAATATTCTACCACGGTTGGATGTACTTTATCTTAGGATTTTACCCATATCAATAAAAAATCATTTTGACGTACATTGTGGTTTTCTTAGTAAATCAATAATTAGAGTTATATAAAATTTTAAATAATTTAATAAATTATATAAGTAAAATTCATACTTAAGAAAATATAATAAATAAAGTAAAAATCATTAGAATTAATTTTCAAATTATTTTACATCGATTCCTATTTTCCCTGTATTTTAAAAGTTTTTTCAACCTAATCTGAGCATCTCATCTTTATGATTGTGTTCAGCAGATTTCTCATACCAATAGATTGCCTTTTCTATATCTTTTTCAACTCCATCTCCATTTTCATACATAAGAGCAAGACTGTATTGAGCATTTTTTTGTCCTTGTTCAGCAGATTTTTTATGCCAAACGAATGCTTTATCTATATCTTTATCGACTGCTTTTCCATACCTGTAATAATTACCAATATTATACATGGCAATTACATTGTTATTATTTGCGGCTTTTTCATAAAATTGAGCAGCCATTTTTAGTACCTATTCCATTTTCATAATAACTGCCAATTTGGAGTTGTCCTATCGAGATATCTTTATCAGCTATTACCTTACAATATTCGAATGCTAATTTTTTGTTTTTCTTTACACCACTTCCATTTTTATAACATATTCCAACATAATATTGTGCTAAAATATGATTTTGTTGTGAAGCATCATAAAACAATTTATATGCTTTTTCCTTGTTTTTATCTAATACAATTCCAAAATATTTAAGATATCCATGCAAGAAAATAGAATTCGAATCGTATTGTTTCTCCGATAGCAAATTAATAATGTCTTGTAATTTGATATTTCGAGTTTTCAAATGTTCAACAAAAATATATTGATTTCTTAATTTTGAGCTAGCTTCTTTGCATAGTTCTTTAGAAATAAGATCGACTAATTCATGAATTATACTTAAAGAAATAAATTTTTGACCACTTAACGTCTGAGTATTAAGCTTGTATGAATCTGCTGCATCGTTATCTATTATTTCTGTTCCCTCACGTTTAAAATTGTTAAAATCAAAAATTTGGGACACCCCTAAATGTACTAAACTTTCGCTGCTATAATGTGATGCTTGATGGTTCATTTCATAATTATCCGTTGGATCATGTTCCGTAATTTTTTTTGATCCTGAATTAATTGAATTTAATCTGTTAACTACTTGTTTCATATCTGGACGATTATTCGGTTCACCATCACAACAATCTGAAAAAAAAAACAAAGCATATGAAAAAAATAAAATTTAATAATCAAACCAATGGCAATTACGAAAAAGTTATATGATACATAATGTGATTTAATAACAATCCTCCCACCCTATGAAAAAAAAAATTCTGGAATTTGTCCAGAATTTGCCGTAGTATCCAGATAATGTCCGGAATCCACCATGTTTCGGTATAAATTCCGGACAATATCAAGACATCACGCGATGTCCGGAATCTACCATGATTTGGTCACTTTCCGGACGATCCGGACATTTTCCACATGCACCCGGACATTTTCGATAACATTTTCTGGACAATTTTTTTTTATAGGGCCATATTAAAGGAAAATAATAAATTTACCAGTATAAATTTTTGTATATTCTTCAAGTATACCAGGAATAATTTTTTCTCTGCGACCTTTTGAAATTTCATTAATCAACTTAAGGTCATTTTCTTCTCCATCAAAAGGTGGATGTCCACTAAATTTCTCCCATAAAAGTACACCAACACTGTAGATATCACTCCTTTTATTAATTTCGTTATTTCCATTGAACATCTTTGGATCCACATAAGGGATCACACCATAAATTTTTGATTGTATAGACGAAGATTCTTCGATTCTTCTTGATAATCCGAAATCTGCCAGTTTAATATTATTTTAATGAATTAATACATTTTTGGAGTGCTAAAAAAGATCGTTTAAACAAAAATTTACTAAATGATCGTTATATTAAGAGTTCGTTTTGTCGAGTTATACGACATTTTTTTATTTAATAAATAGAATATATTAAAAATATTACCAAATCACGATGCACAATTCCTATATGAGACAACGCCAGCTAATTGACATGCGAACTTATATTTATCAACCCAAGTAAGGTCCTTAAAATTTTCCTTCAAATAATCTCGAAGCGTACCTCCGTCAGCAAATTCCATTACTAATGAATATTTCGTTCGAAAATTTTCTAATATTGTTAATGAAGAAGGCATTTATTTGATTGCGTTATATAACATCCTAATTTAAAATATTATCGTACCCTCAAATTTTGCTATACCGTAGAAACGAATGACATTACTATGAAAATGAACTTCTCAAGCTAAAATTATAAATATGAATTAAAAATACTAAAATGAGATGATGACGAATTATAATTTAAATTATACCTCATGAACAATTTCTTTTACAATGTTATTGTTGAAATCGAAAAAGGACTTTAATGCACATTTCTGAGAATTTTTCCAATCTGTGCAGATTACTTGTCCAAATGCATCTCGACCAATTATTTCAATATTATTAAAATCTTTGTAATCATAATATTTTAATTTTTCTTCGTCGATAGCCTTCTCAATCCAATATATCGATTCATTTAATCTTTTAGTATTTTGCATTTTTTTTGGAAATAGAAATTCAGTCGGTTGTATATAAATCACAAGTTACACAAAATTATAACTAAACCATTTTTAGACTTTTTTTTATAAATTCGATGGCAATCTAAATGGAAACTTTTTTTTTTGTAATACTTGAACCATCCTTTTATTGTATGTGAGCCAATAATTAATTAGGCAACCACATCATCGTATGTTATTCCCGTAAGGATGTCTACTGTTACCCGTGAAAATGACTATAACTTTATTTAAGAATTAACATAATAAATTCATTTTTCAAAATTGTTGTTAAAACCTAACTTGATCAATAAACAAATGTTTGTTTTACAATCAATCAAATCAAATAAAAAAATGAGGAATACTTTTCCATATTTGAATTTCATAATATATATAATATTGACTATCACTTTATTATTATTATTTGAGGTTAGAATCGGCCTAAATTGACAATCGCGGTGTTCGTTTAATAGATGTTCTCACTTATTCCAATTTCGAATTTAAGGAATGTTGGAATTTTATTTATGTTGCTTGAGAAAATAATATCAACCACTTCATTAATATAAATTTTCTAAGGGTTTAATTCAAATTCTTCCAGCGCACTTGAAATTAAATTTTCTTTTTGGTCCCTTAAAGTGGAAATCTTTCTTCTGAACAATGCCATACTATAATGTTTTAGCTTTTGAACATGAAACCATTTTTAGTTGAGATGAGATGATCGCCATCTATATAAGAAATGAATTTTCCAAACATTATGACACGAATTTACTTGGATATGTTTTATTTAATGCTTGTTTATTACTTGTATTTCAACAAATTCACTTTGGCATTAACTCCTCCTAATACTGTTTGGCAACTTACCGCTGCTCTTGTAGATTCTAGAATTTACTTTACAGGTGGAATAAGATCACCACCATTTCAAAATTTTTTTTATTTAAACGTTGGTAAACTTTTTAAAATCGATGAGCCGCCTTTTGTAGATCTTGGTTCAGAAGCAGCAAGTGTTCCAGAACATGCATGGAGCACATTTACACATTGTGGTCATAATAATTCTAATCTAGTGATGTTCAGTGGAATCAGTAATCCAGACCATACAAATGCAGTTTATACCTATGATACGAAATTACAATATCCGGCTTGGCGCAGTTTTTTTACCAAAAATGAACTTAGTAACAAATATAGCCTATCCGTTTGTGACAAGAAGACTGGAAAAATGTATACGTTTAGTGGTATATACGATGAACATAATAATCGAATGGATATTTTTGATTCATGGATAGGGAAGTGGACATTTAGCAATGCAAGTATTGAAAGTACACCAGCAGGAAGATATGGTTATACTGCTACTTTATTACCAACGGACATCATCATTTACATAGGTGGGAATTCCAATAATAAAGGTATCAATATGGATATGACAAATGTGAATAATTGTTTTGTTTTATATAAATTGCATATTTGACTATCTATTTGCGTTTTAATTAATAATCATAATAATTATAATAAAAAATAGCTACCTTTGTATAATATAACTGATGGTACATGGTCTCATATGGTGAGAAGAATTCTTTGATTTAAACTGGTTGACTAAACGTTTTGTGCGTAAAGAATTGATTTAGTGTATTTTAGCATACTACAGGTTATACGCCTGGTGCACGCGAATACCATTCCGCCGTTCTAAGTAATTATATTATATCTTAAATCCGTCATTGTGAAATGAATAAACGGATGGTATCATATTAAATTTTCTTTAATATATAAGGTTAAGGATGGTCGTATTATCGTATACGGAATTTCAATTCTAAAACACGATGATCTTGTGATATTAGACACAACACAACAAAATTTTACATGGTCAACAGCGTATGTCTCTACCACGACGCCAACTCTACGCAATTGCAATTCGGCTACTTTTGTTGACGATTATATGATCGTGGCTTTTTGGGAAGATCCTCAATATGGAAAAGAATTGGTCATTTTAGATACGAGTAATAAATCTGATTACAAATAGATTAGCGAGTTCAATCCTGACAGAAATAAGACTGACAGTATTGTCAGTATTGTTAAACCTACCTGTAATAAAAACTACATAATTATAACTATGATTTTGGTTATTATGCTATTTTTGGTAATTTTATTCTGTATTGCTTGCATAGTAAAAAGCGGAAAGAGGGATCACTTATACATGATGATTAGATTTTGGCTGTTTTGCCGATCCATTAATATTAATAAATTATAATGCTTTTCATAAACTAATGATTCATTTCCCAATATACTAAAAGTTTCGGGCTATACCTTATTTCCAATTCCTAAATGTTTCGGATTATAATATATAATCTGAAATTACCATCATAAATTCCGTAAATTAGGCGAAAGTCCGTTATAAATCCGATACATCTTTAACACTCTATAGTAAAATATTATATTTTTCATAGCAAATTAAAGCTAAGCTAATAATAAATTAATCAATAAATTAATATTTATATATATATATTTTTAGTAAATATATTTAAACTAATTACAAAATTTATTTATTAATACATTAAGTTGCTATATTGATAAAATAGGCTAATTAATGCGCTATTTAGAATATACAATTAACATATAATTTATTTGATACATCTAAAAACAAAAATTTCACGCTTAAAAAGTAAAGCAATTGATTTAGTACTCAAAAAAAAAAATTTTTTTTTTATTAAAAAAAAAATGAATAACAAATTTAGTACTTTGTGAAAATCAAATAAAGATATAATTAATACATTTGTAATAGCTGATCATCAAAAAAAACAACTATAATCATTCTAAAATTATAATTGAGCCCTTACATTTTTTATATCATATTCAGAATTTATAATATATAAAATATTATTTTATCATTTATATGTAACATTAATCTTTTATTATTATTCTTTTTGTGATTTTAATTTATTTTTATAATTCAAAAATTAAATGTTATTATTAATTATTAACTATAGTAATTATTTTAAATTTTCAAAGAAATTATAAAATAAGAAAAATAAAAATTATGATTAATATATTAATTACCATTTAAATCAAATCAACTTCTCTTTTAGGATTCCAATCTTCTTCAATATCATTATTATCTTAAATCTAGTTGTCTTATTATATTATTTTAAAAATATTAAAAGTATCAATAATTATATCTTCTAATCATTTGTAAAATCATCAGCATAAAGATTCAAAAATTCTTCAATCTTAAGTACTTCTTTCTCTGAAATTTGAAAAATATTTTATTTTTCTTTATTAATAAATTCTTCTTCTAAGTTTTCATCTTTTATAAAGATTTACATTATATAATATTTCATATAAATTTTCAACAAGATCAATAATCAGAATTGCTAACAGTTTCTATTCCTTTAATGACATCCAAGTTAACTGGTCCAAATCAGAACTCCTAG